GGCCATTAATCTCGGTACAGTCATGGCGGGGGGGCGCTTGCCCCCCCCCCCCCTCCCCTTTGAAGAGCCGCGACTCACGTATATCTTTGTGTACACAGTAACTGAGCATGGCGATATCATAACAACATAAGTGTGCAGAAAAAGATAATGCTTAGGGGATCACGTATACAAATACTGGATCCGTTTTCAAAAGCATCTCGATGAATCACCTGAAGCTGAATCTTATAGACAAGCATGGACAGCATTCTTAATTGCAACAGATCCTTCAAATAATACTATAAGAGCTTGGGACTGAGGAAAAATAGTAAATTTGGAAATAGGCTTTACAAACGAGCAAGCCACGCATCTTGACTTCCTCTCATTCAAGAATGCACACAGTGGACAATTTTGTCTTTTCAAAAACACTTCTCTTCTTGAACATTTTATTCTAAAATATTTTCCTGTTGTATTGTTGTAAACTTCAACTTATTTCTCTTCTATATTGTGAAAAATAACTGTGATTGTCATTTTTTAACCCGTTAGGGAACAATAAAATAAATATAAAAAAATTAATAAAGAAAAAGATAATGCTTTCGTATTAAGAGTAGCACTTCAGATTAATTCGTTGTGATTTTAATAACTAGATGGTATTCAAGTTTCACTCGTATACGAAATGCGATGCGAAGGAAAAATCCGGATTTCCAACGAAAAATTATGAATTCAAAGAAATCTTAAATACTTTTGAAGTAGCCATAGTGCTATTCATCACTCTGAAAACTCTATTCTTACTTAGCGATTCATTCTTAAAGGCCGATTTCGATTGAGCGATTAATTATCTCTATGATTCATTATCTTAGATCAACTGTAAATGAATAGACTATAGTGGCTCACATATGTTGATTACGTCATTTTAATTATCTTGTAACAAATTTCTTTCATTTCCGTCATTTTGGAACCGCATTTCTGAGTGAACGGAACTTCAGATTGCAGATTCGAAAACAGGGGTAAGAAGTTCGATCTTGATACTTCAATCTCACGTTTCAATGATTTTTCTATGATTCTCCGTTTTCGAGATCATTAGGACAGAAAATGAAGAAAAAGACGCGTACGATCTCAAGTAAAAAAGGAAACAAAACTCGCGACGGACTACATAAATGCTTCTGCCTTGCATCGCATTAATAAATTGAATGATAACGAACTTTTCATAGTCTTAAAACTATAATGTAGTTGAATATTTACAGTCTGTAGATAAATAAGTATGTGAACGATGAAGCATCGAAATTGAAATACACTCATGAAAACGATGCATCTATCTTTTTAAAATATAAAATATTTGTTGACTTGTTCATTAGTAACCTAGCACTATTATGAGAATACGAAGCAAAACGTATGTAATTAATTACTTCCTATTACTAATTTTCATACTAATTCAAAGTTGTTGATTTTTTTCCCATTATCTCTGTTTTTATTATGCAAGTAGAAAAGTTAAGTCAACTAACTTTTAATAGTCATGTTTATTAAAATGTCTTTCTCTGCTTTGATGGCATTTTTATTTTATTCAATTATTACTCAAGTAAACATATCACACACACCAAATATTAGAAGATTCTTGATTAAAACGGATAATGATAATCAGAAAAAAGATTTCATATGAAAATCGGTTGATCATTGAAATTATCTTGAACTAGTTCAGGGTCTGTGTGCAACTAAGACATTGTGTATCATCATTGAATGCCTGAATTTCACCAGCAAGAATTGTTTATCGTTTCGTAAGTTTATTGCATTTATGAACTGATAGCTTAAATTGTTGTAGTAATTACTGGTATACAAGCAAATTGCCAGTAGTCTATTCGTGGCGTTCGTTTTGCTCTTTAGCCTCCAATTTTTTTATCACTTCAAAGATGTTACGGTAACTGAGCTGGACAGAAGTAAACGGCTCATACATTCACTGTGACCTATAATTGTTGTTATCTAATAAATAAAAAAGGTAATCGAACAAAATGTAACTATTAAATTTTAATCCAGAACTATTTCATCTTATTAAAATATCATATTTTTCGATAGTAATCATTTTTGTTTTTGGCAACCTAATAAGCTAAGAACGTCTTCGACTTACACAAACAAATAATTCAAATAAAATGATATTAATCTTGATGTTTTTATTTAATGAGTTCTTTCAGTAAACAAAGAACCTTCATTTTTGTTTGTGTCTGTGAAGACTTATTATTGGCAATTGAATCTTTCTCGCAAAACTCACACGTTTACCTCGTAACCCTTAAATAAACCATTTCATAAACACAACGAACACATTTGAAACATCGATCGGGCATTATCTTTCAACAACACAAAAACCTTTTTGAAAAGTAGATTGATCGATCACAATAAAAAGAGTATTATAATTGACTGTGTCTTCAAGTTTCATTAAAACGATAATCAAATAAGTGTACTTCTATTTTTAGCTGAGAAATTAGCTGACAGGATATAATGAATAAGGTTGTCGCTATTTTTATTAGGATGTGGGCGGTAAGCGGTGCGCACAATGCCAATTATGTTATCATCAAGTTGTTGTTGTTTTTTCTCGATATATTCATGAGAAGAAACCGAAGTGGACTAGATTTGTTGAAGAAAATGAAAATTAATGGATCATTTTGTGACATGCACACATCGACTTCGTCATCTACCAAGCGAAATGTTTAGCATAGTCGAACAAGAGTATTGCAAAGTGTATGACTAAAAGTGAGTAATGTCATAACAAAAAAAAATCTTCTTCATGGCAGTTTATCGACTCTACTAAATAAAAGTACTGTCTCCAAATGAATTCTTATACGAATAAAAAAACATAGTTACTCATTCAAGACCAGTAGTATTGGAATAATATGTTGACACCTAAGAAGAATTTCAATAAGTGCATGCTTAAACGATCAGTCTCATTCAATCCATTGTGAGCCTATCATTTCCATTACTTAAATAAACAACTAAGAATAATATTTACGTCTTCTAGTTCAAAAATGAGCTTGTGAAATTTTAAAAGCACAAAGAAATTAATCTGAAGAAATATGTTGTTTTGAATTTTAATGAATAAACAAAAAAAAACGTTTCTTCAACTTTCTATGCACTAGTAGAAAAATACGTAAGTGGTAGACCTTTTTTCTGTCATTTATTTCGAACGAAAAGCAGTTGCTGAGTCTGAAAACAAAATCATTTTCGTTTGCATCAAGATGTTTCGACTTAACTACGTTATTCTTATTTTTGCGTTAACTATCCTTCCATATGGTGTAGATGGGTTTTTCACCCAAAGTGTGATGAATATTACTACTACACGGAATTTAAACTGCTATTTGACAGCTAATTTAACATCCACTAGTTTTCAGTTTTGTGCTATTCGTATCTATCGGAATCAGAGTGGAACACCAGATATAGCATCTGCCGTATATAATGGTCTTCGTTATATGAATACACTGCATCCATTAACTGAAAAGGGCTGTACCGCCACTGTCGCTACGTCATCAGTAGACACCGGTGCTTGGTTTTGTGAGGGAAAACTCCCATACGAAACGTACACATATGTGGATCTGTGTATTTGTGCAACTGATAATTGTAACCAAAACTTAACTTCTTGTCAAAATTCAGTTATTAATACTACGAACATGCCAGCATTGACAGATTTCATGCCAAATCTAACTTCGATTATTCCATGCAACGACACAACCAATGAAAATTATACATGTAGCGCACATCCGTATATTAACGTTCTGCTGTGTCAAGCTTATGTCATAAAAAACAGTGTACTATGTGCTATTTCAATCAGTGGAACTACAATAACACAACTCTCATTGATAGGCGAAAACTATGAAGTTTATCTTTCTGAAAAACTTTATGAGGCGAATTCAATCCCAAGTAATGCAACGGGAACTTCGTTCAATGAAACTCAAACTAACGTCTATTTCAAGTATTCTTATCCAGCTACAATGCCCTATGAAGAATGTGTTTGTACCAGTTCTTTTTGTAATCAGAATACTGGGACGTGTGAAACACCAGTAGTGTCATTACCTAACACAACTACAACAAAAACGACTACTACCTCAGCTACAACTACGACTGCAACAACAACGACAACAACAATAGCAACAAGCACCACAGCTACAACTACTAGCTCAGCTACAACTACCTCAGCTACGACTACCTCAGCTACAACTACAACAGCAACAACAACGACAACTACGACTATTAGCTCAGCTACAACTGCAACAACTACAACAACGACAACAACAAAAACGACAACTACGACTACTAGCTCAGCAACAACAACAACAACAACTGGACCAGGTAATCATTCTTCTAGTTGTATTTCTTGCAATCAATAACTTACGATCATATATTCTATATTTGATAGGAGGTGAAAAAGGTCTTGGTAGCGCAGCAACAGCTGGTCTCGCTTGTGGCATTATTTTCTCTGCTCTTATATTCACCGGTGAAATTTTATTCTTTAAATTTATCTACTCGGGGGGCTTAGGTAATACTTTTGGAAGATCAGCAGCTTATGCAGCATGAAAAATTCTGAAAACTTTGCTTGATATACATTTATTCTCTCCCCAACATTTTAATTTTTTTCCTTAAGAATGATGTAATTTTTTTTTAATACTGAAGCATTATATCGTCGGGTAAATGCTCTATGTGCACAACGCCACGCATATGTATGTGTGTACATAATCACTCCGGCAATCTCTACAAGAAGTCTGAAGAAGCACAACAGAAAGAGTAAAAAAAATTTAAATCACATCACTATTTACACAACGAAAGTGAAAGCCTATAAACGGTGACGTGTACAAAGAAACTTCTTTTGTTAACGAAAACAAATGAAAATAGATCTTTTTAATTCATTAGCTTCTTGTTGATATACATATTAGTATCGTTGTTCAACAAATATGTGATTTCCTCAGAGGAAGAAATGAAAGCTATGCGCTAACAAAAGGATTACTTTGGTTTCAAGGTAAAGTTTTATTCCCAAAAAGAATTTGCTTTTCTTTCTGCTACTCAAAGAAGATTTTCGACGATGAAAACGCAAATACAAACATTAGAGAGAAAAGCTATTTTCCGGACAATTTTATTTCATTGACTTTTGCTTCGTAACTGTATTGTAACAATTTAAGGAGTATAGAACAAGCAATAAAAACTTGCGCTTCTCATATAACAAAATGCCATAGCACATAAAATAATGTTTGTTAAATGTCTTACTTAAATTACATTCATCTATGCATAGAATCAATGTTTTATATTTCATAAAAAAAACGTATTTTTTTTCACTTCCGTCATTCATTCATTCATTTGTTTAACAAACCTGTCAATACGCACGGCATGTCTATACATAATTATATTTCTGTTCTATGTCTTTTCTTCTCTTTTCCTTATACAACATTGACTAAAAAAGAATTTCAGTTGACAAGTAAAAATTCCTTTCATTATATTCATTGTAATAATAATTTTCATGTGAAAATAAATTCCATTAAATACTTCTATAATAAATATAATTGTACATTTATTATTCATGATAATGATCATAGTAGAATGAATCTATGTTCAAATCAATCAACATGCATTTTGCATTTGAAATCTTTTTTATTTTTTCATACTCAACATCTTATTAATAAATGTCGTATGATTAAATTAAAATCTACTCAACTAAATTATTCATGTGTTACTGATAAATTTATATCGTTTAACATTTTCAATCAACCAAAGAAAAATGTTTCCGGTGTAATGTACACAAAAGTTACCATCATTGTATGTTTATGTATTGTCGTTTTTGTTAGTTTACTTGCTTTTATTTGTTCGTATATTGAAAATTTTTCGATTGACAAAGAAAAATATTCAACGATGAATGAAATTCAGTTTAATACACAATCGATCTATGATAATCAAAGCAAACAAGAGTATGAATTGAAAATTTTATCATTAATTGAATCATCATCGTCGTCGTCGTCGTCGACGACGTTAACATCTCGTTACAACAAGAATAGTATTAAAAATCCAAGTGAATATGATAATTTAACAAAAGATACACATCAATTATCTGAATCACCATCTCAACTGAAAATTAAATTTTATGAAAACTATCAATTAAAATAATCGAATATTCATTGATTTCTTCTTTTTTTTTGTTGCTCTGTAGACTTAATTTGCCTTAGGAATTAAAAGAATGTATCTCTTATCAGCAGAACATCTTTCACACTATTGACCGAAACATCAAGAATATGTATATATTGTTAATGTGTGTATCCATGCCTGACACCTAATCAATTCACTATTGATAACATATGATAAAAAGCGAAGCCTTTCTCAACTGCACGTCGTCTCTGAACGATAAATATCATCGTTAGTAGCAATTTTGATGCGCAATGGGAGGGATGATGTATATGTGTCTCATCATGTTGGATCCATCTTCGATATCCATATTCAATAATAATAGCAAAAGTGCATGACAGAACACAAAAAAAAAGAAGCCTGATAGATTCCATCGTGTGTATGCTTCTGGATATGAGGAATATATTTCCTCTTTTTCTTTATTATTTGATTATCTCTTTTATATACGGTAGCGTAACAGGAGCGTATGTGCTGTTTCCTTGCTTTCTCTCTCTCTCTCTGTATATGCACCACTATCAGAATCAGAGAGTCGAAAAGGAGAGAGTAAGAAAAGAAAAGCAGAACTCTCCATTTTCTTTTTTCCTCTGTTCGAACCATTTGATGTATATACGTGTGTGCGTATTGTACAATTATTCCTCTTCTTCTTCGTATTCTTCTTTCTCATAATAATTGTATATTGTCGTACATATATATATATATATATACATTTTTTTTGTAGTACACAATTTACTAGACAGAAGCAGAGAAAGAACAACAGACAAAGAGAGAAAAAGAAAAAACCGTAAGAAGACGAAGAATAATCAATAGAAATCGAGAGAAAAAGAAAGGCGAACATTGTATTGAGCAACATTACCTTCCTCAATAATCATGTTAGTTAGTTTTTCGGTATTATTATCACGCAATAGTGCGTGATCGACTTTATTAACCGAATAATCTGTATTGAACTTGTTCAATTGTATTTTGAAACTTCTATTCATGGCCACAATAATTCAAAAATCTGATAATTATGAAAATAAAAAGTTAAACAATGCAAATATCGAAAAGACTATGACACAAGAACGTACTCATCATAATAAAGGTAGGCGTGAAGAAATTTCAATTCGAGGCGCATGTTATTTTATAATTGACAAACACTTGTATAGATCGAGGTTAAATAGTTTTTAATAAACCTTCAATGAATGTCTATGATAAATTTATGTTGTTCTTCGTCGGTCAGATACTTCAGCTTATGAATATCGTATCGGATTAATTTTTCTTCTTCTGATTGACTCTTTTCTTTAATCTTATGTTTGAATTAGGTCTTTCGTTATTTTTTTTCTCCTTTTATGCTAATCGATGATAGACTTGCTTAGTCTCGTAGTTTATTGATCACGTAACCTGAACAGATTCTGACCTTTTCATCCTATTGACCAGTTAGTCTCCTATTTAGCATCCAACACATCTGCTCATCTTTCTTTATTAATCTGTCGTTTCTAGAAATTTATACACACGAGAACAGAAGAGATAGAGAGATGTGTCCATGTTCATGCAATTATAACTGAGAATAATGACACTATATTGATTGTTTATCAAATACGGTTTTCTCGTTATTGTACGAGTTCTGCATGAGATATAAACATCATATTTTCTTCTTCTTACTTTTTGATAGATACAGTTGATGAGAATAATCAAACGACAAGCTATGAATAGTAAATAATGTTATATCTTTCCCTAAAGTTAAAGAACCTTCCATATTGTAACATGTCAAAATAATAGATTTGATGCTGACAAGCATTGCTTTCATTATTTCTCCTTGATGGGTGTACCTGTCATCATTATACTATAACGGTCAAATTACCCAACAGATCATCAACACTTCTATTTTTCAAATAAGAGCACAAAAAAAAAATATATATATATATATAAATCAACATAAACATCGATCATAGTGTTCTTTTCGATTTTCAATTATAAATACGTACACATTTAGAGGACGTCACGATGTCGAATTCTGATCCTATTATTGTGTGCGAAGCGCTTCGTGAACAAAATGATGCACTTCGACAAGAACTTCATGATATACGACAAGTATGTATAGTTTTATTCTCACTACATGGATTATAATAGTTGATAAGACGAAATGTGAATCCATCTGATCATGTTCAATCGGTTTTGATAGGATAATTATATGATGACATTCGCAGTTTATGTTTGTAATTTCCTTCTTCCTTTCACTCAACACTAGATCCATGGCGTGTCTGATAAGGGCATTAAATGCATAAGAGATATACTTGAAATAGATATGCCGATGACATGGATATTTCTATTTGTGTCCTTGTGCGAGAGTGAGAGAGAGAGAGAGAGAGAGGAGCGATTCTAAATTACTAATGATGTCGCTGAAATGAATTGACAGGACTTTGACAATTATTGATTACTTTCGTAGGAAATGGACGAGATTACTGATCAATTTCGTACAGAAGATGCTGAAGAATTCAAACAATTACAAGCAGAACTTGAAGTGGCTGGTTGGTTTCATTTATAGAGCATGAAATATAATTTTAAATTCATTTTTTAGCTAAAAATTGTCGAATTCTTCAATTTAAATTACGTAAATCAGAAAAACGAAATGAAACAATCGAAACTGATAAGGCTTTATTAGAAGGTAAGATACCACTATGTGTTTTGTAATAAGTTCTAAACAATTGTTATTTTTGTAATACGAAACTTTTATTTATTGTTGACGTTATTCTCAGTTAGTATTTCTATTGAAATCAATAGAAAATTTGGCTACATTTGATCTAGAATATAACAGAGAGAGAGAGAGAGAGAGGGAAAGATAAGAAAACATTCATCATCATTATCAAGGTCTAATTGACGCAATAAATATTTAAACAAACGAATTTGTAATTTAAAGTATTCATTTGTATAACGAAAATTTTGAATAGAACTTCTTTCTATTCTACTTCTCTCTATTCGTAATCTAAATGAATAAAATCGATTGCATTTTTAACCTTGTCAATTATTGTTTGTTGATTCAGAAAGACTAACAATCAATAGGTTTGACCTCTATCTGATGTGATTACTCATATAATAGGATAGGAACATTCTAATAGAGCTTACACGGTTCTCTAACGATAAATCTTGAAGGTTAAGTAGATATTTCTAATTGAATTGATAATTGTTAATATTATTAAATTTGTTATTTAGAAAAAATACAACAAATTATTCATGATAATAATCGAGCTCGCGATTTCGATGAAGAATTACTTATTGCAAAAGAAGTCAGTGTTCGATTACATAGTGAACTTGAAAAAAGTGAAGAATCAAGAATAATAACTGAAAAACTTAATATGGCACTCAGACAACATTTAGATACACTTAAAGAATCTCTCGATGAACAATTAATACAAGTAATTAAATTAAATGAGGAAACAACAGATTTTTTTTATCACGAGTTTTCTTATGTTTAGGATAGTACAGATGATTATCCTTTATGGCAATTGTCTGTCTGTTTATATGAAGCATTATTTCGTGAATATGTTCTTATGGAAGAATTATCATGGTTACAAACGAAGAATTTAACTACAAAAAATTCTTCTAATTTAAATACAAATAATAATAACAATGGTAATGATTTATCGGATTTAATGAATTCATATCAACACAAAATATCAGCACTTAACAGTGAAATATCAAATCTTAAACACGATATAACGAGTCGCGATAAAGAACTATCACAATTACGTGTGCAATATAAAATATTAAAACAGCGTAGTCGAAGTGCAGATAGAAATTCGAGTTCATCAGAAGATGTCGCAAATAATGATCGATCAAGACGTGGCGTTAGCGTTGATGGCGGAGAAAATTTACGTGAACAACTTGAAGCATCATTAGATGAAATTCGTTTATTAAAAAATAAATTATTAAGATCAGAAGATGATGTAAATAATGCTACTTTAGAAAAAGAAAGTTTACTAGCTAAACTTGATGAACAATCTAAACAAGGTGTTGACGACACAGTCAACAAAAGTCTTCAAATATTCATGGACAAAATCGGTAAATAATAAATTTTGATTTCATAACAATTCTATATTTAGTTTATTTTTCTTACAGACTATCTAATAATACTTATCAAAGAAAATAAAACCGATGAGAAAGTTGTCGTCGACTTACAGCAATTTCTACATTCATCACGATGGAGTAAACAATTAACCGTATGTTTCACCTTTGAAAATAAATTTAAGCAAATTTATAATCACAATTGATTGAGTTATTGAGATAGAAAGTAACAAAAATAAATAAATAAATGCTAAGAAGTATTGCAAATAGATTCTATTCATCAGCACCTGAACAAAAAAAAACGTTTATCCTGCCTTTTCTTTAACGGCGATGACAATTCTAAAAGAAAATAAATACTGTTTATTCTATATTCGATTGCATAAACATGAATTTGTCACCATAGAGAATCTATAACATCAACAAAATATTTAGATATCATTGATGGATTAATCTAACCCGCCGATATCTATGTAAAATGAACTGTTTCTCTCTCAATGTCATGCACAGCATTTCATAATACAAGCTGTCAGTTACATCTATCGAGGGAAAAATTATTGAGCGACCTTTATGTTTAGCGAGAATATTCTAAGAATATATCTATATATATAAATATTCTTCATTTATCTGTTAATGGATGTTCGTTAATGGGAAGAATATTTAAGGTGTAATATGTCATCTCAGATGAATGATAGACATTATAATCGCTACTTCATCTCAGATCACAAAATAAACCACATAGAAGTGCCTATGATGAAAGAGGATACATTAAATTTCTTCATAAAAAAAAAGAACGATGTAAAATGCGTTTTGATTACCTCAAGCAATGTATTCTTTTGTTGAACTCGTGTATGTTTTCAAAGAAACAAAAAGAGAGTGCATATTTCATCACGAAGTCTATCAGTTCCTTTCTCTTGTTAGTCGATTGATCGATCAAAGACCAAAGGTCATCTATACAGATCTACGTCCTTGAGTTTCTTAGAAAATCGCGAAATGTATTAAACGATAGTAAAAACAATATTTCGTAAGTTTTTTTAAGAATATCGTAGCGCGATCAAAATATAGTTTTAAATTTTGACACGTGTTAACATTTGTAATGATAGCTAGTGCTGTGTTGATTTGGCATAGTTGACATATGACTGACATTAAAGTATAGCCGAACAGCTTTTTGCTTTCGGCAATAAACAATACGAAAATTTCTATGTTTATCTCAGTGCAGGATGAAGGTGATTGCCGATCTATTACATAATTCTACACAGCAGGTGAAATCAATCATAATAAAAAAAGGAAATTAAGGAACATAATATAGAGAAATAACTTTCTATAATAAGTACCTATCCTTGAAGACTAATAATTATCTATCAAATTCTTTTCGCTTTAATCATTTCGGATTGGTATATTGTACCCGAAGAAATATGGTATGAAAAGCAATTTAAAATAATACATGGAGAGTATTGTCGACAAAGAAAATATAATCATAAATTGTGCAAAAATGTTTGTATGCACGCTTTTCTATTATCGAGATCTATCATGATCTATAATGGATCGAGGCATTTTCTTATCCGATGACGTCTTTTACATACTAAATGTACAGATTATTATTGGATCAAATTTACATTCGTGTCAACTGTTACTTTGAATTTTTATTCAGGGAACAAACAGAATTGCCAACGATTGTTCTTTGTTATTATGGGAGTTGTTTTGCTATCTATATCTTTTAATAACACGTTTCCATGTAGTTTGTTATTATCCCTACTGTAAAAACACCGTCTAGTATTGTTTTCTATCCATTAAATTGTCAAAATATTAGATTGATATGTAAAACAAAATGCGCTCGGGTTACATTTTGGACCGAACAATCAGAAGTATTTCCTATGTCAAATATTGCTTTTGATTTAAGCGCTACCATTATTTTTCTAAGGGTAATACCTAGATAGTTGAACTTCTAACAAAGAATAAATCTGCATACTCGTTGCGTTGTACATCCTGTCAATATTGACCTTTGAACGTATAGAAATTTTGCAGAATAGAATATCGGCATATTTAATCATGATTTGTTTTACGTCTTAAATAACCTTCCAAGAAAAAGAAAATGAGAACAACGTATCGCTCTCAGAACAATTCTCTATGAAGACATAATTGTTGGCTTAAAACTTTTCAGATGTATTCAAAACTTAGAACGTTTTGGTCATCCTTGGTCTCAGCATTTGATTGTATGATTGAGAAAGAAGAGACTCTTTTTGCAATATTAGTATATTTCTTAATCTTTACTGAGTACGACCAGAGTGTCGGAAGCATGATGGTATCTTGAAGGGACATTAAGCCTTGTAGTGGATTAAAAGACACGCGATTGTGTTCAGAATGATGTTGTGTAATTTTAGCATAGTGTTGGTAGTTTCCGCTCCGTTATCCTCCATAGATTTGTCACCGCCTCCGTCTAACATTGGTTTCGCTATTAGACAAAAAGAAAAGAAAAGAATTCAAGTCTGTAATATTCTATTTAGGAAGAACAACTTCAAACACAATCAGCTGTAACAAAGTCTACAGAAAAAACATCTGAAATTGTTCAACATGCCAATGAACTTCTTAATGAATTACAAACAAAAAAAGATATACTTGATAAAATTCGTTATCGTCTAACCAACTTGACGTATGACACAAATGATACATGTAGTTTGTTAGAAGAATTGGATAAAGCAAAAAAGAACTTCGACGAAAAACAACAGATGTATAATAATTTACAGAGATCATTTGATAGTCTTCAAATTTCATCGAAAAAGTTCGAAGAACACCTTCAAAGTCAAGTAAATAAAAATCAAATATTAGAAAAAAATTTCGAACAGCAAAAATCCGTTAATAATGAATTACAACAAGAAAATACACGTTTATCATCATTGAACGCTAAACAATTACATGATTTAAAACATCTCGAACAATTACGTCAATCAATATTAACATTTGAGAAAAAACTTGACCAAAAACAAACACGTGTTAATGAATTATCAATGAAAATAATTGAAAAAGAAGATATTATTGAAACAAAAGTTAAAGAATGTCAAAAACATCGGCTAGAATTACGTGAACTTGAAACAAAATATTATACATTAGGAAAACAATTAGAAGAACAAATTCTAGCAATGACAAAAGAAATGGAAAAACTTAACGTTGAAAAAGAAATGCTTCGATTTGATCTCGAATCAATACGTTTAAATCAAAAGAATGTAAGTTTTAATCATAGATTTGATTGCTTCGATAATCTGTAAAAACAACGAAGATAGGAACGATGAAGTGGTGTTGAGGTCTAATGCTAATCCTTCTTATTATCTTATAGGATCGTCCGGCATCAGCACGATCAACAGCTGAAGATGAAATTGCCCGTGTTAAAGCTGAATGCAATCAACAGATAATCGACGGAGAAGTAGAATCTTACAAGCTTCGTATAAATCAATTAACAAATGAAAAAAATGATTTATTAAAAACAATAAAAGATCTCGAAAAACGATGTAAAGAATTACAAATAAAACACGATGTCAATGAACAATCATGGATACGATTGAAAACCGATACGTCTGAAAAACAACGCAAAGTAAACTTTTCATGTTGTTCTGTTATAGAACTAAAATTTTCTTTCCATAGTATGATGAAAGTATTAAAATAAAATCTGAATTACAAAATGCAGTTGATCGTCTTCGTCAGAAACTGTACGATCTTGAAAGTCATGCACAAGAGAAACAAAATAAACATGCCATTGATAGACACCAATGGGGAATTGAACGATTAGAATTAGTTGGAAAAATAAATGAAGTAAAAAAAAACGAAAAATGTGTTTCGATAAAAAAAAAGAAAAATATAATTTTTAGTTAGAAGAACAATTATCAAAAGTAACAAAACGTCAACGAAAAGATCTTGAAACAGTATGGAAAAAAGAACGAAATGAATTACAAAAGCAACTTCAACAATCTCAACAATCGTTAAAAGATGTACAAAAGCAAGTCACCAATCGCGAAGCTCCTAGTCATGTAACTGAAAAAATTAATGTTCTAATGACCGAAAATGAATTATTATTAAATAAAATCAAAGAACTTGAAAATGTGGTTGATGATGTTCAATTGCTGAAAAATGAAATGCAACGTTTACGAGATAAAAATTCATCGGATTGGAATTATTGGCGAAAACAGCAAAGCGATCTTTATGCACAATTACGACAACAGCAATTTATCAAAGAATCGATTCTTAATAAATTCGATCGATTACAAAAGCAGGTAAGCTGACAATAATACAAGCAAATATTTCGCCTGCTACATATTCATTTACTCTCAACCTAATAACAATTTACGTAACTTCAGTCCTACACCGCTTATATTCTCATAATAGAAAGAAAGCTACGAGAACGATAGTAAAGCAGGCTTTATTTGCTAAACATGCAGAGCACATTAGATTAGATGCATGGAAAAACAATTGACTAATCCATTCCATTGGTTGTTCGGATAGATTGGATTTCTGTTCTATAATGAAGTTGCATTACTATTATAGCCACGTGCTGAAAAATTACGCTTGATGAGATTTCTATTGAATGTTTTTTATTTTATTTATTTGAATGTAGATTCGATCTGGCAATGATCATGATCGTCATATTCGTGATCTTAGTGTTGGTCCAATATCTCTCAATAGTTTATACAATGAGACAGCAGCCAAATTGAGTCATCTAAATTCAAGTCATGAAACATTACCGGATGACATAGAACTTCCGCATGGAATTATCGATATACAATCAGTTAGTGTCAATGAAATAGCTGGTACCGTAAAGGATTTCACATTGTTACCAATGTCACTAATGAGTGACGATAAACAGCATACGTTGAAAAATACGTATGCAGCACAAGAACATACAGCAGCTAGTCTCGATGAGGTACTGTAATAAAACGCGCAAATGAATTAAATATTATTTTTTTTATTGCTCTCTTAGATTGGAATTAAACTTGAACGTGTTGAAGATAATCTATTTTCTTATCGACGTTTTATGGATTTTATTCGAGCGTAAGTCTAACAACACAACTAACGTATTCCTATGTCCAACGTTTTTCTTTTTTTCAGTAAATCCGAAAAAAGTGGATCGATTGCACGCGATGACAGTATGAATAATATTGCTAATCAAACAATGTCTGCGGCTCATAGCAAACGGTTAGCTTCAGCACCACCGGAGAATATGAATTTAAAAGCACAGCGTCGTTCTCGGTTTGATGCTAATGGTAATACTAGTCAGGAACATACTCCGTCACCACTGAATGAAACTCCATCATCAGAATTACTAACAAATTCAGTTATGTCACCAACGACGAGTACGAAAAATCGATTTTTTTCATTGAGTCGTCGTTTTCGTTTTCGTACTCAATCACCCGAAAAAAATTCAATAACACCAGTATCTGTTCATTTTCTTGACGAAGATATTGATTTAGAAACAAAGGAACGAACAACAAAAAAATCCGATAAACCATCAAAAGGAATCCTCAAATCTTTAAGACATCGATCACCATTTCGTTTTCGTTCGAAAGATGCTGCCATTATTGAACAAGAACCGTCACCACCACCTCCTCCCACCCCGACTCAGGGTCCCTCCCCCCCCCCCCCCCCCCCCCCCCCCCCCCCCCCCCAAACCNTTTACTGAAAAAAAGAAAAACGTTGGACATAGGAATACGTTAGTTGTGTTGTTAGACTTACGCTCGAATAAAATCGTCAAAAGAAACTAAACAAAAAGCTTCTACAGTAACTTCAACTAAACATCGTGGTCGATTTATTGAATTAAAGAAGACAACAACAAAAACATCTTCATCCAATGGTACGCCGAAAAAAATTGTTAATGTAACGCCTATCATAGATACACCTGGCTCATCATTAGTACGACGTGCATCAGGATTAAAAGATCTGATTCATAAATTTGAAGTCATACCACCAAAACCAAAACGAGCTACAATAGATAATGAATCTTCAACAGAAGTAGATCAAGATGAAAAAATCAATTTGAATCATTCAATCGATGATCAACATCAACATCGTCCTCCGACGTTAACATCAACGCCAAAGTCAAAAACAATTGACATTCCCGATCTATTACAAAATGTTGAAAAAGAATCGTCATCAACATTAACAAAACCTATTTTACGCCATTCAAATTCAAGCAGACAAACAGCTTCATTTGATTCGGCAGCAAGTATGGTTAGTGCAAGTGAATCGATAACTACTATCGGTAGTAGCACACGAAAACCAACATCAACAGCAAGACCACTTATGCTTGCGGCTGTAAGTTCAAGTCTACTTTGATTTTCGTAATTGAACTTTTCTCTTTGCTTGTCTTTTAGAACAAAGCTGAATCATCATAGCAAATTTGTTCAATAATAATTGTTATAATTTTTATATATTGTTTTTCTTTTTCTATATTTCTATTCGAATATTTCTCATGTGTCATATTCTTATTTGTAAAATTTAATTTTTCTTTTGTTTTTTTTTAAACATACATGATCAGAATTGTATCACAATAATTTTGTGTGAAAAACAGAAAACAAAATGCAAAGAATATTATGACGAATAAAGAATGAAAAACACAAATTTATTTGTAAGACTTCTAATTTCATTTGTATATGCTTAGGAAAAACATCTAACATAATACGATGCTTGATTATTTGAAATACAATGTCAAATGAAGTAAAATAAATCGATATTTGCGCAGTTTTTATTTGCATGATCTCATCTTAAATTAGTATAACAAAAATCTGTGAACGAAGAAATAGACTAAAAAATGCCGATTTATAATCGTTTTAAAATGTTTCTTTTTCTACAAAGAAATGACGCATATTTATTGTCGGAAATACCTATTCATTAATTCGTGAGTTTGTCTATGATGCACAAGGAAGAAAATAAATCGAAAATTATACATTCGTCCACCCAATTATTAGCCATGGTGAGTCGAAAAAAACATAAATAAAGTAACTCGGAATGAAAAGCATGATTTATTTTTTTCAATGCATGATTCAGAAGTTGGTTCCGACTTTATTTTATTACGTTTATCATAAATTACTACCGATGAGGATTGAAACACTTTAATATTCATTTTTAATGATGCAACTCAAATAACATAAATAATCATGAAGTGCATTCGTCAATATCAAATAATCATTCCCTACTAGTATTAAATAGAGACTACTCACTGGTAATATAACTTATTATTTGCACGTCATAGCAATAAAATATCCAAATGAATTCGAAGCATTTATTTCTTGCCATTGTACTGCTCGTAGTGGTATTAGTGATTCGATCGACACACGGAGCACTACTTTGTGAACTCGGCTATCAACCATGTGGTACACAGTGTTATAAACCAGCGACAGGTGACCAGTGTTTTAATAACGGATTGATCTGTGGACTCGGCTATCAACCATGTGGTACACAGTGTTATAGGCCAGCGTCCGGTCAACAATGCTTTGAATGAAAAATTATTTTTGATCGATTACCAGCTGCTCTGAATATTTCAAAATATCTATAATAATAAACAAGAGAATCTTGTGTGGTTTCTCCTAATTTGAGTTTTAATTTAATAAGAATGTTACACTAAGCTACACGCATATCATAATTTATTTATGAATATGTATTGAATTTTGTTGAAAACTGTTTCTCCTCTAATAATTACATTTACCTGAGTATTTGAATTAAATAAAAATGTAAGTAAGGATTTTCCCCCGTTATATAACTTTAGTTGAGTAGATGAGTAACCATCTTTTATGTTTTTTGTTACTAAATAGTGACGCAAATACAATTCTCAATCAGTCATATGATAGAGAACAGTGTGATAGTACTATGGTTTGAACCGGAATAACCATTATGTTGTGTATTAAAGCAAATCTGGTTGAACAACCTTCACATTCATTAGCATAGAAAGAATTTGGTATATAAATAATTTTCTAGTCAAGTTTTGCAAATTCCAAAAACGTTGCCAAGAAATCTACAATCTAACAGATCAAACACATGCCAAATAAATCAGATAGCACATCATTCGCATGACTATAAGACGTGATTCCGATTGACAAGATACGGTTGACATTTATCGTTATGTGGTCTTTTTATCTTTGGCTTCTTTGAGCTTTGCATAAGGATATGTCATAATAACAAAATATGAGATGAAACAGCTATCATTTGTATTTAATAAGGACCAATTCGTCATGCTGCGCCCAGTTTCGGCTACTGCTCTTTCCATAATTGTATAAGCAATAGGTGAAACTCGATCTTTCCATATTTATTCAAGGCTAATCACTCATCAAACTTTGAATTGAACAAAATCTTTCACATTGTTGTCGTGCTAGAAATCAATATATGCCACCGATGAAAAGGACAATGTTGTGATTCAACGAGCCAATGCAAGTTAATTATTTATCGAAGGCAACTTATGATAATGATTTCGATCGTTCTCAGAGATACTTACAAAATTGAGAAGTGAACAATATTCAGCACGTGAATGTTTTCTTTGCTTTGTTAGGTAACACACTAATTCTGAAATAAATAAATTGATAATTAGAAAACCGTTTATCAAAGGTCAACGTTATTTTCAACTGCCAGGTTTTTCGTGGTGAAGAATATGAAAAATGAAAACAAAATATCTAGTTATTGTCTTATAAGAGTGTATCTTGAATTTGTTGTCAGAATGTTGTCATTTGTAACTACGTATAATACTCATTAGTTACAAAAGAATCAATTAAGAAATGGAATTTTACGATTGAAGAGCTTGATACGTGCTTATAGAGCTGAGTTCGTTTTCCCCGATTATACATTGTCTGTCTGCGAGCAATTTTGCATGGAATTTCTGCAGCGTTTTTAATTAAAATAAGTAATTTATTTTGTGTATTTCTGTATATTTCATGATTCGAGAGCTGTGCAACAGTTGAAAGAAGAAAACTTTAGAGTAGCCTCTACAGTTTCGGTATATGGTAGTGTTTTCATTATGAAACTTCCGTTTTCAAAATGTAGCTAATGAATCCTTCATTCAGTATATACTTGAAGACATTTTAAGCATATCATAACGATAATCTATGTTGAGATCATACTGACATAATTCCGTTTCATTTCGATCATGTGTCTCATAACAGACCTCTTATGCGATACAAGAGAAAGATTTCAATGACAGAATTAATACTTCTAAAAAATAAAGTATAGCCCACTCAATTCTGCACTGAACAACTTATCGAAAGCATTCAACATAGAAACGTATGCTTATCAAATTGGTTATGTTTTGCAGATTCGTGCACAGTCAAATTTTGTTTTCTTAGAGGAATTGAATATCAAAGTATTAATAAAAGCTATAAGAAATCGCGAGAAAATACATATCGTTTGCTTTGAATAAATCGGATACTCGCCAACTAGAGATCTATTATATTTGATGAATCGGAAAACATCGTGACTATTGTCTACTCTTGAAAACAAAGCAAACTTGAAATAGAATATACTTTGGCATGCGAACTTTTTTCATCTGAACCCCATTCATATAAAGACATGCACAAGTATTATGTTCGGTTGCACTATTCTGAATCGAAACAAAATGAATTTTACTCTTTGGCTGACTTCTTGTTTGCAAAGTCTAGGTCTACTTCATGGGTTATTCTTTCAAGCATAATGTCTTTATTGTGAAACCCTAGAGACTATTTCTCTCATATACACTGAACAATTTTAGATGATATTGCAAGAAAAAAGAAAAAAAGGTTCCGGCGACCTCTTTTGTAACTAGAGCTTTATGTCACTGTCTAACGTATCTAAAACTTGAGCTCTTCCTCGAAATGCCTGCGTTAAATATTGTTAATTGTTATCATTTTCCATGCAGCCAGGTCATGCGTCTGAAATATCATAGTTACTCAGTTTTGTTGCGCATCTTCCTTTGTTAATCATGTCTTTGGTTTTATCATGTCTGAATATTTTATGAGAAAGGTTTTTCTTAATAGTGCGCATGTGCATCTATAGGTTTCCATAATACACATTAATTGCGTTTCGTATGCACATCAGTCATAAGTATGGCATACTATTATTGTTATTATTATTATTTAATTCTAAAAATCTGCGCCATAATTAAAATCTTAAGCAGCATGACAAACTAAGATTTATCTATCTTAACGTATAGATAATGAACTGTGCACGAATAACTGTATGTTAATTATTACCACGAGCATCAGATGATATATTGAAATAGCTTGAATTCATATCTATTAATTTATAAAAAGAATTGTTTAAGGAAGTTTCCATGAGGGTATAATTTTCTATTGAAATAACCTTTTGCTTTTATTTAAGAGTAGAAAAGAATATGAAAAATAGTAAATCTAATGTTCCGCCATTACCATACTGCCATTTCTTTGCATTTTTAGAAGAAAAACAGACAGATACGCCAGAAGCAAAGTGTACCCAGAAAGTAAAGTCATCTAACAATAACAGCCAACCAGTGAACGAGGAACAAAAAACTCTCTGGGACGCTACTGAGTAATGAATAAATAAATATTAATTCTATATCCGGTTGATTAACATCATAATACAGTTCGTTCTTAGTTGACAAAAAAAGAGAATTATAATTAATTATATATATATATTTACAATGCTCTTGTTCAAGATAATTAATTACAAGTACAAGACCTTTAAGCACTTACAACATTACCCGTGTGATTACAAGATGAAAGGTAGATTATCTTGAAAAAATTCATTAATATGCAAGATTAATCGAATTTCAGCATTGTAGGATGTTGAGATTAACTAAAATTATTCTAATTCGTCAAAAATATTGTCTGGTAGATATAGTCAAGGCCAAATAAGAAAACAAGTCTGAAAAGAATCAGTACTGTTTGGTAATTTTCGCTATTTCATATAGAATAAAATTCTACATCTAATACAATCATAAAAAAAAAACTAAATAAAAATCATTAAGCAGCATTGGTCAAATTTGGTTTCTAAAGTATTTATTTTATTTGAAAAAGTCCTTTTTAAAGCTCATCTTATTTAACAAGTAAATTAATTCAGTGTCTAGTGAACACCTAAGAATGAACCTGAGCATGAAATACTTGAATGCTCTAGTTCGTTTCCTCACTGGTACTTAAAATAGAAGACAAACAAGCATTATTTACATAGAGTCTTAATCGTAACCATCGCTGACGAGAATAGATAATAGGAAGACTTGTTAATTGAGTTTTTCTTGAGAGATCCGTCATGTTATTGTTATCTCAAATTGGTACATTATTTTTACATAAGCAGTATTACATGATTAGAAACAAAAAAATGCTCTACGATTTTTATACAGCATTGATAACATAATCGATAATAAATATTTATCCGCTAACGCGGTCAAGAAATAATTCAAACGCAAATTCAATATATATATCATGTCTCTAGTACAATAGTGTCCTTTTTTTAGTAGAAGTATTCTGGTAAATTTGAATAATCTTGCCATTGTTTTCTTTAAAAACATGGGTATTCATACAACTGTTGGAAGTGAAGATCTCTTGAATAGAAAAAAATTCACATATAAAGCATTTCAAATAATACCATTGACTTCCATATCGAAAATTATTTTATTTCATAATTCGCCATTTTAGATTTCCGAAATTCAACATTATGTAAGTAATTCATGAAGTTAAAAAAAGCAATTTTAACTGGAGATGCACTTTCCAGCATATCGTTAAGACCGGTGAAAGCCGATCAACTGATGAAGAACCTACGGTGATGACCGTTTTTTTATGTTATTCTGACGGCACTGTATTAAAACAACCCAGAAATGCTAATATACCGGCCTTCATTGTAGGTTTTTCGTATTCTTACCGGCTTTACCATTTTCTCACTGTTGTATCCCTAGCTTTAACTGAATTTGAGCACAAAAAGCACGATTAGAATTGCCTAAGCACATCAACATTCTTAGATTTACAAAATTGTAACAATATCAGATTACATAAGAATGGCGTAGCTAGAATATTGATGAACCAATCTGCCGCCAGTGTGTTGATATAATACTTCTTGCATTCAACTACTTTATGCCACGATAGATTCATATTGCATGCAAGAAGTGCGTACAAAATGAATTTTTTCCGCGTCATATCCTGTTGGGTTGACTACTGTAGGCAATCGCAAGATGTTCTGTTGAATTGATAGACTAGATTTTATTTTTAAATCGAGTTCACCAACTGAAATATTTCTCAATTAAATCGTGAAGCAATATTTTTATGAAACTCATTTTAGAATAAAAGTTGATCGCATTGCAACTCACCGAATACATGTATGCCAAGCAAATATGAAAGAAGCAAACAATATATTGCATAGAATGTAATTATAAATAAGCTTATTTATTAAACTTGATTTGAAAAACTATTCAAGAAAGGTGATAAAGAAGTCAACAGAACAATACACAATTATTTTCTACTAATCTTACTAATGAATCGTTTTTTCGAAATTAAACAATTCAAAGGTTTTTCTGTTTTGATGTAAGATCTAAACAATATTTTGAAATTCTGTTTCTTTCCTTGTTCGAATGGTATTGGAAACAAGAAATCTTGATCAATATCATCAGTTTCGAATCTTTTTGATGAAGTTCATCACTTCAAGATAATATTTGACACAATGTTTTACCTTTTACTTGCAGCCGTATAAAGAATAGTCGATCAAATTATATTTTTCAAGATTTAGTTGACACAACACGAACGGAGCATCATCACTATTTTCAAAAGAAATATTTTTGACTTTTTCTGAAAATTATCTATCAGTGTGGTAAACGAGATGAAATATATTGGCTGATCTTGCAATATAAACATAGGTGTAAGGTCACGAATAGAAACTAGGTGAATATCACCATCTAAATGAAACGATACAGATTTCATAACTTCAATATTATGTTTGTTGAAGTAGAAATCTAACAATAAGATATACCGATACAATTGGTCGTTTGACATAGTATTTGTTTTCCGTCAACTCTACTCTAGCTCCATTCGAGCATAAATAAATCTATACGAGAGATTGTTTTGTGACGACATTGGTAGTGCTTCTCTCATTTTAGACTTTCGATTATACAAGAAAAATTGCTTTTTTCAGCATGCAAATTCAGAAACGTGATTCTTCATTTTTCAGGTTATAATGCTCTTACTCTATTCTGTGGAATGTCTCTGCTAGACATTTGTATTGCACATTGAAATATTTACCTTTTTAATGGACTTCCCTATGTTTAGTTATGGATTGGTATATTAGCAACATATATTTTTAAAATCTATCTTCAATAGTAACAAACAGTTGCAAATGAAATGTTTTTTTTTATAAAGTTACATTTTGATATAGAGAGAAGCACATGCTGACTTTTTCTTTTCTATTTAACGTGCTCAAACAGTCCATTGAATACATAATAAAATACGAAAGAAAAGAAACCCGACTGGTTTGTGAACATATTGACATTATTTTTATACTCAGACTTTTTTCTGTTTCATTTTCATTTTCTTTTCTTTTGCGTTTCTATCGTTTCTGACTAATGGCTTCTCTAATGCCAAGAAAATAATGGGTGATGAGAGAACAACAAACGATTTCAAAATAAAACAGCCACTGTTTTGAGCCTACTTTCCCTTTTATGTATCGACTTTAACAACGTTACCAATTATTATTTGTCGTCAAAATGGCACTGAGCTGTTCAACAGTGCAAACATCCGTCGTGCCATATCAATTTCAGCAAGGCGAACAACAGTGTAATTCTCTCAATCGACAACATGAATTATCATTGATTAACGACGATAAACAGTTTAAAAAAGCCGAGTCATTTCCATTTGGAAAATGGTAAGTAGTCGAAAATCCTGAGAAAAAAACATTCAAACTATACTCACTCCAATCTTAAATGTCTATATGTATTTTTGTAATCTTCATCATATGTGCTACGTTTTTCTTTTGTAGTCGCATCTGTCGCGATATTGCTACAGGAGTCCATTATGGCGTTATTACATGTGAAGGATGCAAAGTATGTTTTTGCTTTTTAAAAGGTTTCATCGATGAAAATAATAAGTGCATAGGGTTTTTTCAAACGATGTATAAGTCGAGGTATCTCAAACCGTTGTTTATCTGGTAATAAATGTACCGTTAGTACCGACACACGTAATCGGTGTAAATCATGTCGATTTCGGCGATGTATTGAACAAGGCATGTCTATGAATAGTGTAAAAATGGGTAGAATACCTAAAAAAGTTAAAGAAAAAGCATTGCGTTATCATAAAAAATATCAAGAGCAAAATACACACATTCAACAAGTGAGAAATGAAAAAATTATAATATCAAATGATGTTCTTGACTGGAGTTCATCGGATCAAATAACACAATCTACATCATCTTCATTATCAATGAATAATTATAATACTGATACACAAGCAACTAATGAGCAAAATCCAGATAGATTTCACGATACTCCAGGTAAATATTGTATCCAAAAACAAAACTGTCACTTAATTACATTCGGATTACATTAAGAAATACTTAGATAAATATGCTTTACGTTAATCAATATAAAGTATGCTTTGAATTTCATATTGAACATTTTCATGGCATTAATATTTTTCATACCTAATCCTATTTCAGCTGTAAAAAAAAACAGGTTTTATTTTAGAACTTTCCCTATTGCCAAAACAATCATTTGATCGTATGAATGCATTTGATTTAGCAATAAAATTAGGAAATAACTTCAATCATAATTTATCATTACTTTGTTTACCACAAATTTTCTGTTCATTATCAGTATCGAAAGATTGGGCAAATTCAGCTAATTACAATAATGATTTATCAATACGTACATCAACAAATAATAATTATATGACAGTAGCAAAATATATATCAAAAATAAATGAAAACAGTTTGATTGATACAGTTGTTAATTGCGAATTAAATTATTCGAAAAATATTCTTCCAACAATGAAACACATTTTACCAAGGCTTTGCCAACCTTATCTTATTTTTGAGCTTGATTTTGAAATTATGTCAGTTTTTCGTTATATACGATGGAAAGTATTTCAATCGTATTTAAAAAATACAAATCGAGTGCAAAGACATTCTCAGGAAATGTTTCGATTAACTAGTCGTGGTGTAAGTATATAATGAAATTTATTTTGTTTTGTTTCATTTTTCGTTAATAGTTCACACGTTATTCAAATATCGATCCAACATATGAAGAAATGTGGAATGGTGTTCAAGCTAGTATAGCAGCGCATGTTAACGAATTACTTGCTTTTGCACAACAGGCAAATAAATAATTTGTTTTTCAATATATAAGAGAATCTTCAATAGAAAACTAAGTTTAGATAAAAGTCAAACTATTAATTGCACTTTCAAGCTACAATTTTTAATGCTTGACATGATATTTTAGATGTCACTTATGTAATCAAAGGGGACAATTTTCTTTCTTCTCCTTCTATTATTGAGTAAGACCAGAATAAAGCATTAGAGTAAACTTGAGAATAATAAGACTAATGATAAAACATAATCTATTCATAGAAACGAGTTCATTAGCATTTGAATATATTCTATCAAATAAATTTATCTTGTCAAAACAAACTAAGAGATAATTCTTCTTGCATAGGAATATAGAATTTTAAATAATCTTATATTTTCATAATTGAATGATTTTTTTTTCTACCAATAGATGCCTGGGCTCAATGAATTAAATCAATCGGATTTCGCTAAAATTCTAAATATTCGTATATATGATTTTTGGATGGTTAGTTTTTAGTTCTAGAAAATTCAATAATCTATTTCTTAATTAAAGATTTTAAACTATCTACTATTTTATAATGGTGAGACCTATATCATGACACCTGATGGTCTACAATATACAAGATATTTTATGAATCAATTGATTGGAAAAACAACTACGGATGCTTTACATGACTTTGCTAAAAGTCTTCATGCATTGAATATAACACAAGTGGAACATAGTCTTATTATGGCTTTAGTCATGTGTCAACCAGATCAACAATTAGAAGATCAAGAAAGTATACATGTTGTCAATCATTGCTATATGTATGCATTGTATGTTCAATTATGCTCAACAAGAGCCGAAAATAAAGCGAAAATATTATTTGATAATATACTTGAGGTTAGTTTCAATTTTTTGAATGGCTCAGCCTCTTTTTTGTACTTTGTTTGCTTGATTGTTATAGATTATTGGTCGAATTACTTATATTAACGAACTTTGTAATCAAAATATTGGAAAAATTGTAATGGATAAGACAATATCAAACGAATGATTGGAGTTGTTTTTATTTTTTTCCCTTCTATTTGTTGTGAATTAGCTATGTGATTTATATATACATATATATGTTTTTATGATTATAAAAATGAAAGGAACAAACAATGCTGAAGAATAAAGGTGCATGAAGTAGGGAAGATTTTGGTAATCAACTAGATGGTATTCGAGTTTCGCTCGTATAAGAAATGCGGTGCGAAGCACGAGCCGAGTACAAGAAAAAATAAAAAATTTAACGGAAAAGGAACAAGCAATCTTAAAATTAATTAGACATCGTTTTGATATGATTAGTTTCATATTTGCTTGGAATAAACACATTTTCCTGTCTTCAGCAGTTGTAATAAAAAACAAAAATGGTTTCAATGAAGCAGATGATTGAAATTTAAAATACACTCAGAGCAGCTATTGCCGAATCTATCACTACGAGAACTCCTCTATCAAGGCTTATGAGCGCCTCCAGAGATGTCATAATATCCTAACACTGGGTATCGTCGACATACC